TGTGGTACGCAGTAAAGGAAGCCTCTACGCGAGGAAATGCTCCCGTCAGTGACTAGGTAATTCTCACGCGGTGTGGTATAAACCAGTCGGAATTTACTTTCACCCCCGTATAGGGTATCTTTCCATTTGCTATCTAAATTTGGCAATACGCACCGCCTACCGGTTTTATGCATGCAGTATCCCATGACCCGTACTGTACTCTGTACGCTGCAAATCACAATTTGCAAAATGAGCCTACGTCAGTCCAGCATATGATATGCACATACATCGATACATACGGAGTACAGTCTCTGTTGCTCACTTTACATCCGTCTTCCGACCGTACAACTGGTTTTTTAGAAACCTGAAAGCCATGATAATATTCTCATCTGATCCTTATTATAAGCAAAAATCAGCTGAGCATGCGTTGACCTACATAATCATAATCAGTCTTCGAGTACTTCCTTTGAATGGTGGATCCTGGATCTCGAGTCGTTGGCTGTAATGGATTTGCGTCAGACAGTCAGATCGGCCGCGAACTGTTGTGGGGAACAAAGTGTACAGTGTACAGTAAGCCAGATCTGCACTTTTCTCTAACCCCTAAACTTTTCCCGATACAGAAGACAGGTGGAAAATTTCAGGCTCGATAAGCAATCCACTGCTTAAAAGGGGGGCAGTGCACGATTAGGCCAGACAAAGTCGACTGCAAGTATCTGTACCCCCGTAGGTGTTCCGAGCAGGTTCTCCATACCTTAGGCAGTAATGTAACCTAGAGCGCTGCTCCTACTCTATTAGTAGTACTCTATCTATTCCCTACATTATTGTCGCAGCACAAACAAATGAAGTCTGCTGTAATTACCAAAAAGGTATCCTGAGAATTGAAATGTTCCTTTTGGCAAGGTGGGGACTTAAGGTTACGTAGGGCGTCGGGATGAAGCTCCTAAAGGGACTAATTCCACCAAAAGCAGTAATTGGCTTTGAATACTGAGTAACTATTGCCCAAAAAATCACGATTATCGAACTTTGCGTTGATCGGAAATCACCCTTATGGAAAACCTTTTTTACCCCTTCCCGTTGTCGGTGGTACTTTATCTGCTAGTTCTATATAATTTGTCTGCAATTAGATGCCAAGCCTATACCTTATTATCGAAGTTTAGCTCTGTCACAATTCAACTCCTTTCCTGTTCAGTGGATCAAAATGAGATATGGACTGACTATAAATCAAAGAATTGCAAGATAGTGTCTCAGTATAAAGTATAAAGTCTCGTCTTGCGCAAGGGGCATGAAATCATCCTCTACTCTGTATAGTCTATCTGTAGTTATACTGGGAGACCGCTCAGTCATACCTCATAGAGGAACCTATTATGCATGTCTCTTCCTAATGGCATAATTCAGTAAATATACAAACAATGTCCTTCTCCGATTTCAGATTACTTCAGTAGAGAAGAAAGTTGACTCCCAGTGAGGTTTACTCGTTGTATGTACATGAATTTCTATACACATAGAAGTCCATCGCTTGTTTTTATCAACGTCCAATTCTAGGTGTAAGACTAGCATGATACTCATGACCATTCGTTTTCCTGTTTTCGTGTAGCTATGATATCAAGTTGCCGAAAACTTTCAGGGGTGTTGAGGGTGTGGTACGGCAGCTGGATAGCATTAGAGGGCTATATATATCTCGCTTGAGGAGCAGGTCTAGCATATAGTCTTAGGTACCAATACTATACCAAGTGAGTCCAACTAAAATGATATATGACTTTCCGTACGATTGATTAGTTATGGCATTTCTTTAGTGGTTCTGATCCACCGTCATGTTGGGCAGCTCGAGGATTGTACTTGCTACTACAAATACCTATAAAGGGGCCCCATGTTGAACAAAGATATATATGCATACCCACACAACAAGGAAAGGGAAGGCCACTGAGAATAGCCAAACAACCAGGGTAAGAAAGCTCGGCACGAAGGTCAGTAGTGCTAGAAAGCTGGTTTGAAGGTGTGATAGATAGTGCGTCTCACATAGAATGATCGTATAACAAAACTAACCTGTATGACTTGATGGAAACTTCCGAGTTTAGTTTGCTCCAGAGAAACTTTATAGTTGCGCAAGCAATTAGAAAGATTTAGAAGCAGTTATTAACTTCATTCAAAGCAAAATGAGTGTTTAGACGTAGTCTAGACTGTCTCGTAGTATACTGCGGCCCGGGAGAGTACCCCATTTACCCGTAATAGGTAAAGGCCATTCTATTGGCTAGCGCCGAACCTAACCTTTCTCCACTCAAGGTTTAGCGCCAAGATGTCTACTAGCTATCGGGAGCCGTGCATGCGGGCCCAATTTCCATATCAAACTTCCTTCAGAATGTCCGGCATGTCTCAACGGTCCAGCATCAGGAATTATTTCAAGCGGCCAGATTTTTCAGCTAGCAGAGATTCTCGGTACCAGGATCCAAGCGAAACTCTTGCCGCGAGTTCTCAGTCTTCTCCCCTCACTGAACCGCCATCGTCCTTTGTATCAAATGGTGGATCTCCACAAACGCCAGACGGTCCAGCATTGCAGCTGAAACAGTCATTGTTACTCTCTGTCACAGGTTCTGCAGAAAACTCACAGCACCAACCAAGCTCTCAAAATACTGAACTCACAGCTTCTGATCCAACTTTACCACCAAGCTTCAACTTAGCCCAGCGCGTTGTTAGAAACGGAAGAGAAGTTGTAATCAGCTCCGATGGTGAAGATACGGACACAAGCGAGGTCTTTGAAGATCCAACCTCTCTTTTTTTGAAGTTCGCCAAACCAGATGATGCTTCCACAAATGAAGAAACAAACAATGTTCCGTCTAGCCACGAAAGGACTTTGCGTTCCCGGCCGTCAAGAGACGACGTGAAACCTAGAAGGTTTTCGCTGAGTCGCGTTTCTGCCCCGAAGTACAAGCACACCATTGATAGTCTTGTTACCCAGGCAGTCGATGATAATGAGACCGAGGCAAGCATTGCAAAGCTTAGGGCTGCTTTAGAAGAGGAAAATGCCCGGAAAGCCACGTCAAAGTCCGAGGCAGCTCCGGGCTTACAACAGTTGCACGAAGGTATTCTGACGTCGGCTCTCGACGACCAGAATGACGAAACGGGGCTGCGACGCTTACTTGATGCTGTTCGGAGAACGGAGGCATTTGACATGGAGAAATCGTGGTTTTTCTTCGACCACGGCAGTGAATTAGCTCCTCCTCCGGCGTTTCCACGGAACTGTATACCAGCAAAGTCAAGTCTTTCTGTGCTAAGAGGTTCGCTTGAAAAGTGGTGTCTCGGGTTCCGTCTCTAACCTGTTTGCAGATCCCGAATCGAGAGAGCGAGCATTTCATTCAGGCTCTGTTGATTTCGCGTTGTCAAGGGGGCTCCTGCCTGACGAGTTGGTTATGTGGATGCTTAATTCTGGTGTGTTGACATGAATCCCTGAGTTAACATTGCGCTTACATCCTTTAGTACCCTCAGAGCCTCGAGATACATTAAGGAACGCTTATTGCCGGGCCTTCAAGGTTTGTCAATCTATATGTTGGGTGGGAGAGGTTTTTATACTGAAGCATTTCAAAGAACACTACTGCGGAACGTATACAGTCGCTCGTGCAGCCGGGCAGCATTGACGCCATTTTTCAAAGGATGGGAGCAAGGCCGAATGCCTTGGCATTCTCTGAAGTTATAGTTCCAGATGCGATCCCAAAAAGTGAGGCTAGCCTGTGTTTCTGCTCGTTTCGCTCTTTCGTATAACTAACAGAACACAGATAGTTCGCTGCGCGCAGCTCCACAGCACCATGCTGCTCTGCTGTCTATTCTAAACCTTCTGCGTGGGACAGCAGATCTGTTAGTGTCGAGGTTGCACCATGATGAAACAGCTACTAACATTCTGATAGGTTCTCCGACGAGACTAGAGAGCACATACTAAGTATACTCTTCCGTCTTTCGCTCGACATGTCATTAACTCGCGACTCCATGGGTTGCTCGGAATTGGAAAGGACTATAACTGCAGTGTTGGAGAGTATCCCCGAAGAAACGGCGGATGAGTTGGTAAGGCTACCTATGTCGTGCGACAATATGCAAGGATATCCACTGACGTATCTAGGTATATCACGTGTGCACATCTGCCTATGAAACCATCAAAGATGCTGTATTCCAGAGTCGTCTCTTGACGCACATCTTGCCAACATCAAGCTGGATTGCAATGCTGCGATGCCGTCTCGCCGTCGCGTTCTTAACGAGCGATCCTTCTCCACTAACCGAAGAGCCAGATGTGATGGTTTATTTAAAGAGAATAACCAATGTCCTGAAAGACAAACGTTTTGACGTGAAGAGATATAAGACGAAAGATCATCCGGAATACGACTATGGGGAACTTATGGCTATAACTACTATCCTCAATATTGCTATTGATTCCGGCTGGTCCGGCGTGGACTTTTCGAGTAAAGATGCAGAGCGGGAATTCAACTCCGAAGTTGATGTGCTCGCGGACCGGATCAAGAGAATATTCACCTCCATTGAGGATTCGGGCGCATCCCATCTCAAGCGGACCCTAGCGAAGGAAGCCCTTGAAGCCTTGCACTACCGCATCATATACTCTGTCAGGACCAAGCCTCGCCCAAAGAGGTCAATATTCGGAGAGAATGGGGCTGATCGCCAAAACAAGAAAGTTTTTGACCCGTGGAAGATCAAGATCAAACAAGACCCGGAAACTCCCACCCAACAACCGGAAGCTTCGCCATGAGGCTAGTCCTTGACTAGCCTCATGGCTCTACATCTATTTTTTTTCTTTGCGTGGGAAGTATATCACTATACACCGACCTCTATCACAACGAATGTCAAAGGGATTCTAGTGCAAGAGCTTAACAAATGCTAGAGCTACTATAGTTGAAATGGCCAGCCAGGAGCATGACCAGACAACCTAAAATTATCTAATGATGGAAGGGGATTATGACTGATATGATCTTGAGAGCAGCAGCCAGTGATCCTACTGTAACGCTGCCTTTTCCCACCTGATCTTATTGAAGGGTAACTTGAAACGTAGGTAAATTTTACTGGAGAATAGTAAAAGACTGTAGACAGGGCTATGCTATTCTCCGCACGCGGAGCGTTAATCAAAGAGACATAGATACAAGAATCAGCGATAACGGACTTGGCGCAAAATCAATAATAGGACAGGTATTAGTCTAATCGTAGAACCTCCGGTTCTGGTTCTTTCCGAATAGTGTTTCCCTCACGGCGGGAAGAGCATCGATCTCGAGCAACCGCAGGCGCTCTTCGAAAGTGTTGTTGAGCTCGATCGTACCCTGTCCGCCGAGAATGACCACACCTCCAGCACTGCAGATTATGCGTTAGATATAGTACGACCGAAATTGGAAACAAAGAACAGGACTTACGATCCCTCCGGCAAAGGCTCGGCCTCATCTACCTCCACATTAACATCCTTGCCAACCTTCTCTTTGAATGCCTTCTGAGCTCCCTCAATCGCCTTCTTGGCTGCGTCAGTGTCCTTGGCCCTTACCCGAACGGCCACCTTCTCCTCATTAAGAGCGTACAAGCCCTCAAGGATCAGTCCCTGCAGAACAGTTTCATACTTCTTAGCATCCTTAGCTGCGATGCCGGAAATCTTATCACGAGCTTGCTGGAACAGCTCATCAAGAAGTTCCTGGCGAGAAGAAAGAACACGGAGACGAGTACGGTTTGAAAGGGTGGAACGGGTGATCTGTTGGGACATGGCAGCCTGCTTGAACTTCTTCTCGTACAGGGTGTCAATGGCAGCGGTTTCCTGACGGACGAGCTTTGACTTCTCAATCGCAAATTCTTCATCGGCCTTCAGCTCGATCTCACGGGCCTTCTCCAGCGCTTCCTGCCGGATGAAGGCTGTCATCTTGCGGAGCTCGCCCGCGACCTGTTCGTAGACGATATAAGTTCGGGGGATAACAGGCATCTCATGCTTCGGAGGCAGCATACCTGATCGTCGGAAAGGGCATGGCTTTGCGACATCTTGGCTAGCAATATCGGATGATATCAGAACCTAGGTATTAGAGGGAGTCGAAGGGCGTGGGGACCAGACAGCGCAAATCAAGCTTCCCGATGCGGAGGTGCTTTCTGGGAGGGTCAGGACAATGACCTAGTCAGCATTGGATTCTAGGACGATGGGGCACAGAAATGACTAGGGATCGCAAAAGACAAAAATAGAGTGGGAGGAATGCCTACCGGTGCAAATAGTTGGCGGGGCCAGGGAGGGGAGAGCTCTAAACAAGCAGCAGGTGAATGGGGGAGGTTGTACGCAGCGGATCTGGTGACGATCGGGTCAGTTGGCCATAGCGAGTTTGGCGCCTCAGGAACTACCTGACGGTTTCCCGCCCGCACCCCATGAGATCACTCCAGTCACTCGCCTTGTCTCAACTACATCGTCCTGGGCCTCCCATTTATTTCCTGTCCAACTCTGCCACTTCCTTGCTATTTTTCTTTCTAGAATATGGCGACAGTACTTCGAATCTTGCCGAAACTCTTTTAATGTGTTGCGGCGTCTGGTCTACCGTCCCCCACTTAACGACCAATGCATAAAGATACTCGTGATGGGTAATTTAGGTGACCTGTCCCCACAGGGGAGTGTCGCGGTCTGTTTCCCACGCGAATGATATTTTTCGGCGAATAATCTACTCAATGTACTGACTAGAGCTGCGGTAATAGGTCGGAGTTGTCGTTGGACTGGTTTCGACCAGTCTCCAGGCCATTGGATTGACCCTCCAGCGCAAATCGCATATCCTCGAGGACGAGAAACACCCTTACGATCTCCGCCGGCCACCATACAAGCGTCGAAGATGGCAGGTATGCGAGGACTCACAAAACCGACGAGGAATAGTACTGATGGTCTACAGCTGGGCATGCTAATGTTCGTCATTTCGAACATCGTTGGGAGTACTATACAAATCACTACACTTCCGCTTCCGGTATTATCGACTCTCCAAGCTGTCAGTGTCTCCCCAAGCTCGGATCCCCAGAGCCTTGCTAACAAGGCTGTGAACAGTCCGGGCTCGTCTTTAATACCGTCTTTGCAACCTTGATTTTGGGGGAAGCGTTCACCAGATACTCCCTTATAGGTACCATCCTGGTCTGTATCGGCGCTATTCTCATAGCAACCTTCGGGGCCATTGGGGAGCCTGCACACACCCTCGATCAACTCCTAGAACTCCTCCAGCGTTGGAATTTTATTCTTTGGATGGCTGGAACAGCTGTACTGGTGCTGGTCATCTTACTCGGCTCAAGACTTCTGAAGTACTTCGCGTCTCCATTTCGTTCAAAACACTCGAGTTCCCGCCATCCTTATGTGCCACATCTACAACTGACCCAAGGCCGTTCTCGGCTAATACGTGGTTTATGCTGTGGACTAGTAAGCGGGATTCTATCGGCACACGCTTTACTTTTGGCAAAATCGGCAGTTGAACTGCTTGTACGAACGGTCGTGGATCGTGTGAATCAGTTCAACCGATGGCAGTCATGGGTAATATTGATTGCAATGATCACACTTTCTCTCACGCAGCTCTTCTACCTACACCGAGGCCTGAAGCTATGCAGCACGAGCGTTCTCTATCCGTTTGTCTTTTGCATTTATAATATCATAGCCATTCTGGACGGTCTTATCTATTTTCGTCAGATGTCTCAGTTGACCGGCCTTCATGCTGGACTTATCGCACTGGGTACTCTTGTGTTGCTAAGCGGGGTGATGTGTCTCTCATGGCGATTAGAAGTCATCGATAGTCATGCCGCTGTAACGGTTGTCGGCCCATCTCAGACCGCACTGGGTCCTGGAATGGCCGTTGTCGAGGAACACCCTCGCTCATCCCTCGAACTGGGGCTAGAAGACGAAGAAGACCAGGCCGGAGAGCATGAACCTCTTCTATGGAAAGCCTCTCACCGCAGAGCTTCTCACCGACGAACTCCCAGCTTACCTGTACTCACCCCTCAAGGGAGTTCGGCAGACATGGATCCAGCATCCATTTGGGCGGAGCTCGACGAGTCGGATTTTGATTACGCTGACCCGGACTCCCGGACACCGTTACTCAAACGACTCTCTGCCGATCCATTTCAAACCCGATCAAGAGGAAAAACCAAGTCTGTCACCCTGAAAGACGCCTCCCTGCGCGGACAACGCCACTCATCAACCAGCCCACTTAGCCATCAGACCTGGAGTCCCCGCAAGGTTCGACCTTCCAGCTTCCAGCCCGGACACCAACGAAGAACTTCAGCCCCAACGCCCGACAACTGTCGAGCGCCCCAAAAGCGGCGCACATATGCCGGCGGCTCTTCTTTCTTTGACATCTCTGGCCTCGGATACGGAACTCAGGACAACCGCTCCGACACTCCCTCCTCCCGTGAACCACCACCACCACCACTACCCACCGACACAGACGCAACGCCCCTCGCAGGCACGAGCAGTGGCGCTCTAGGAACCGCATGGCAAACCGGTCTACGGTACCTCTCTCGCTTAACCGGTGGTCAACGGCGGAGCGACCAAAGAACTCACGATGATCCCGAACACAACCCGGACACCCATACAGATAGATAATATCCCTGCATCCGTTATCAATGAGCCAAGAAAGGACTGACCTTCCCATATCCCATTGTATATTATATCACAATATTCTTATATCTGCTTATGAACCATAGTCCAACACAGTCGGAAATGCTCATCCACCCTACATCCATGTTTACTCTTTGATTTACTTGACCGGAACTAACCAGGGATGGTATGTTGAGCGACCTTTGGATTTGGGGAAAGTTACTGGCTACTCGTGTAACGGACATGGTTTGTTTTTCCCCCTTAATTCTATTTATTTCTTTTTTAGTTTTTGCCCTTCATATCATATAGCGTGGACGATGATACCTTGGATTAGTTAGATTGGCGGTAGACTTTCCTGACTCTGGGGTTTTTATTTTGGAGTATTCGTTCTTTCAAACTACCTATGGAATGGACTTCCAGTTCTAGACCAAGGTCCAAACATGTGACTGAAATCTAGTGGAAACAAGTAATATTATGCGTGGGAGTACTGTCTCCCTTGTTTGTTCAGTTACAAAATGAGGCAAAAGAAGAGCTCCAATTTTCTCCGTACCATACATGAGACATACGTCCTACCCGGTGAAGGGAAACCCAGTCCAATATCGCATCAGTTACTCAATCAAATCAAAGCAAGGAAATTCGTGTCCGATTCCTACATGCGTGTCCTGGATTACTGCTCCCTGAGCAGTCGAATTGCACTGGTCGGGTAAACCAGTGTTGACTAGGACATATGCAAGGAACACACACACACGACGCAAAGGGGGGAAATAGATAAAGATAAGACAGGAATTAGTCAAAGCAGGTTGAAACACAAATTATGGATAAAAAGCATTGTAAGGAAAACCACTTCGCCAGGAGTAAAGAGAAGAGATGAAAAGCACCAGTAACACCGCCACTTCCACTTGTCTAGCAGATAATTAGATGAACGTGAAGAAAACAATTAATAGCTTCGGAACCCAGAACCAAGCGCGCTTGCATCCTTCGTGTTTCATCGTCAATTGAACTTTTTTTTTCTGAATTTTTTTTTTTTGTCTTTTCATTTTTTTAACCCTTGGTCTTGTATGACTTCGGAATAAATAGAATCGGAATCTAGCCAGCACGAGAACGGTGCTGCAGACCCCTCAACGTTGAATCAACGGCTCATGATATACACAGGTTACAAGCTAAGGCACCTTTGGTGTTCGTGTTATGTTGCTGGTATACGACGGAAACCGCGTTTAGAGCGTCATTTGCAGGGCAAGAGAATTCAGATTTCGCTGGGTATCAAAGGAAGGCCGATGGTGCGGAGGTGCACATGATGAAGTTGACGAAGACGCGAAACAACAAACATCTGGATTCCGCGGCTTCTGAGGACATATTACGCAGAAGCAAGACCACCGCTTATGCAGTGGGTTGGTGCTGGGGCGGCATCCGGTTGCCCACGGGCATTCCAGGGTACTGCCCACCAGCTTGCTGTTGCTGCTGAAGATTTTGGTAGTAGGCCATCTGCTGCTGCTGTTCGTTGGTCATATAGCCTGGATGCATGCCCGCAGGACGAGGGATGTTCTGCTGCTGGGCATTGACATTGTTGTGGGCGGCGACATCCTCTGGTGTCTCTGTCGGCACATCCCCGGCCTCGACACCATTCTCATTGGTGGTGGGATCGGGTGCATTGAGACAGGCCTATCATGAGAGAAGATGTCAGTTCTGGCACATCGTTTACGTCACCGAGTGTAGATTTAGTCCACTCACCTGGATGAGGTTCTTGCCCTCGGCTTTCGTCACCAATGGTTGAAGCTTGGGGGTAGTGAAAGTATAGACGAGACCAGTCTCAGACACGACTAACAATAGCACCTGGGTGCCCGTGAGAACCGACAGCTCGTATGCCTGTTTTGCGACCGCAAAGAAATCGTCAGCGATTTGGCGAGGTCAATGCACGCGACAATTGGATTATACGCGAATGAAAGAGGTGGATTGAATCCACACAAAAGGGAATGACCGGGCGAGAACTCGGAGAAACAAAGAAACAATGAGGGTATGGAGACGCGACAAGCACGTACCTTCTTCATGATACCCGCCTTCCGCTTGGAGAAAGTGATGTGGCGACGCGACTTATCCTGGATGAACTTGATTTCAATCTTTCTGCGCTCGCGACCGGGCTTATCGTCATCATCGTCGTCGTCGTCGGCGCTCATACGAGCACGCTTGGTGCGGTTGTCAGCGGCGCCGTTACCGGCGGCCTGCTGCAGGTCATCCTGGGTAGGAGAAGGGTTCTCCTCACCGACGGCAGTGATGTCGGCCATGCTGGAACAAGGGTAGAACGGCGGGGGAAGGAAGAAAAGAAAAGATAGAGTAATGTCAAGAAGCAGGTGATGGGGATTATCTGGGGGATGTGAAGACAGATGCCCAAAGAGGAATGATGCTTTTGAGGGGGGAGGAAGAATGACCAAATCGAGTAACGCGTTTGCTTCGCAGGGTTTGGGTTCAGGACAAGAAGAGGAAAGAGAAACGGGGAGGAGGAGTTCGAAGAAGGCAAAGTGCCGGTTGGGACAGGCAGGCGGTCTGTCACGTGTGCCCGACGGCCCATTACCTCCTTACCGTATCACCGGTACAAGCAGTCCTCCTGCACAGTGGATGAATTCCATGAAATTCGGCGGCGACACAGGACCCCCGGAGTGGAAATGCTGCCAAATGTCTCAGATGTAGAGACCATTCTAAATGACCTTAACCTTACAATTAGGATACCTCAACCTATCACATTCCTCCTCTCAAACCCATCACATCCAACCGTCTTTTTCTCTTCGAAGCCTCCTGAAGGACAGCTGAAGACACCGGCGGTAAATGACCGTAACAAAGTACTAAGTTTGTCCAGACCCAACGGTGGAGCACACGCCAATCTTGGCATTCTCTATAATTGGCTCAGCCGCCGGGAGGCATCGAGGATTCGATCCGGAAGCCAACTCACATTCCCCACTATCGCGTAATAATACCTTGATACCACTGACCATGTACCACCGTGTACTCCACTTGGTGAATAGTCTGGGAGGTCTTATCTGGTTAAGCCTGTCCAAGTGCCTATCCTGAAGATCCTGATTATGTACTTCTAAATTCTCATTGTTTTGTGACGACAATGATTGACCAAATGACCAAAAAAAAGATCTCTGTTCGTCACCTGATTTTTTTGGGGTCAGCAAAAAAGTGACCGGAACAAAATTTACCTGCAGAAAACCAAGGCTGGAACTCAGCAGGGACCAAAAATTTGGTCCTGTCACTAACAACCTTTTTTTCCAGGATGAGTCAGCCGCGGCACATTCCACGCCTTTCTCGAGTACCATCCAGCCAAGGTTTCCCCCACCATCAACTCCTAGTCGAACTAAAGGGCAAAACATGGTCAATCTTATAGAAATAATACTATACCTATCATATGGGAGCATCAGGCATGTAGCACAACAGAGATCATTATCCTTTTGTCGAGTCATCCTGATCATGAGAACGATGTACGATGTAGTGTAAAGCAAGGGCAACGCTCCCCCTGTATGTGACCAAACACACCTCATTGTGACCTGACCCCAGGCGTTCATGGTTCATGACTAGTTTCCTTTATAAATAGCATAAGGATGCATTGAGAATTTGAGATACACCCGTAATGAGTTACTCTCGCATGACCAGTCACCCCCATGGTCACTATTACTGCTAGTTGTTCAATAATTTCAGCCATATCAGTATCTTCCGGCCAATAATGGCCCACCATTGTTTTCCCCCATTCATGCAGTCTGAAGTTACACGTCAATCCCACGAGGGGCCTATTCCTCGTGGAGCATGAGTTCCCTTTTTTTTTTTTTTTTTTTTTTAACTTCGACTCGACTGTCGAAATTGGTTAGTTCCTTTCGAAACAGGAGATGCTCGGTCCATTTGGGTAATCTGTCACTAGACAAACTTCATATCTAGGAAAGGGTCCTAGATGATCTCTGATCGTGAGATGATACAGCGTAAGAGGTCCTTGCTACAAGGGTCTTCACTCACTATTTATCTCCTTCCCTGCCTCATCTCGTTTAGATGATTGTCTCTATCTCTTTAGCTTCGGCTTACTTTCCTCGTTTGATTGTTTGTCTTTCCAGAGGTGTGATTGATGAACTATGACACCGTAAGCACAAGCCGCCCAAACAAACGTTCCAGCCACTTCCCAAAAGACAAGCACTTACCTAGTACTCTACAGGTATATCAAAACGCTCTATCATACATCCCAGACCCTCCTAAAGAGACCTCTAGCCAAATCAGAACATCCACTCAGAAACCCACTTTACTAGCTAGTATCTATCTTACCATCTCTCGCCAACACTGTAGTCGAAACAAGCCTCGTCAGGCGAACCGTAAGCCCAACATAACAGTAAGACCTGCAGTTGAAAAAAAAAAAAAAAAAAAAAAAGGTACCAGAACAACAAGCTCCATTGATCTACCATAATACGCAATATCGCATTGTCCCAGCTCTGCCTCAGGAATAAGTATGTCTTAACCAAAAAAACAAAACACCTCTTATCAGCGCCCAGAATGCAACACTGCTATCAGTGACACACGCATTACTAAACCCGGCGAGAGCTCAAATGTACTAAATAAGAACATAAAGAAATCTCATTTCCTCCTCTCGATCACCTACTAGACCATAGTGAGTATGTACAACTACCTCTATGAAAGAGATATAGTACCCTCCCCCAGGACGTCAATGAATACACATACACACACTCTCTACCCCAAGCTCCCAAGATATACTACCTACCACCTCCTACTACATATAGCCTAGTCATCAAGAAACAACCCTAGAAAAGAATACCTGAGGAAGTAACCCAGCCACAACCACCACCACCACCACCTACCTCACCAACCAACTAACCCACAAAAAGCACCACTTGACTCGACCCTAGGCTATACCACGCAACCGTACCTCAGCCCGAAACCACCGTATCGTTTCAGCCTATAGTAACGATACCATAGTATGATCTCATGTGGCGGTCATAGAGGGGGAGGCCTGACACCAACTCTATCCGTTTTAGGAAGATGCGTATACCTACCTACCTACCTACTTATACATCCGTTATCCGAAATGAGCCGGCCAGAGCCAGGTAGTACGGTCTGCATCAAAGTAATTAATTAGAGCGGGAAGGTCCCTTTTTTGCTGCGACTTTCTTTGTTGGGAAATTATGTACTCCCGTAATTTGATTAGGAAGTTTTGCTAGATGTTTTGTGCAATGAGTATGTTGTGCTTCTTGGTGGGTGTGATTGGTCCGTGGGTGGGTTGATACATGACGGTTCCCGGATTTGGTTATTAAATGTGAAACGCTTACTTGGAACGGACCGCGCGTCGTTGATCATATGGAGATATACATGGTAGACTCTAGTGATTGGTGAGAAGCTCAATGAGATATTGGTAGTAATTTCTATCTAGCACTTGACTCATGATATTCTTGCATAATCACAGATGCGCTAATCTCCAAGAGCAAGGGGCCGGAAACGGCCCGGAATTCTATTTTTACAAAATGCATGATTGCAGAGAAAGCCTCCTGGTAAAGGGAGAGTAAAAAAAAAAAAAAAAGCAAAGGAAAAAGAAAAAGTAAAATGATGGAGAGAAAATGTTGACTCGTGAAGTTCCTCTGGAAACGGAGGAGTATAGCCAGGTAATCAAGGGACTCAAAACGAGATAAGCTCTTCGCTGAAAAACCACCAGTTCCGATCTTTGACTGCGCCGATACAACGCCAGGCAAATGAACAATCAAAAATAGGGATGTCGAAGGAATCAGTTGTCGAAAGAGGTGCACCTTGGACCACCCTTCAGTTTAAAACCATTTTTGTTTCCTTATCTCGTAAATGGGTAGTGCTCTTCCGTTCTTGGTGGTATGACAGCAATTAGAACTTGAAATAAATAAAAAGAGAGTGAACGTAACAAAGATGAAAAATAATGTGCAAGAACGGAAAGACTCCACAAATCTAAGGTCCAGCCTCAGTATCGGTTGTGTGGTTTCTCATTTGATCCGTAGACCAATAGATCAGTGATGTTTCCTGACATTGTAGTCCTTGATACCGGCGCCGCCACCGCCCTTGGGTCCAAGCCAAACGATCTCGATGACACTATGGCCTTCATCCTCTTCACGCACGTACCACTGGTGTACATTGTCACCAACAACGTAAGCCTCCCTCAAGAGCCAACGGTCCTTGAGGACACCATCATGTTCCTTGGGGCGAAGAGGTCCCAGGCGCTCTTCGTAGCCAAGAGGGTCCTCCTCCCAAGTCTTCTCCGTATGGTCGAAGTCAATGGCATCATCAGGAACGTTCTCGCCATAGGTGTACTTGACGAGAGAATATCCGTTGGTGAAGACCCAGAATGTACGGGTGCTCTTTCCAGTGGAGTTGTTGACAGTCTCTTCCTGGTCGAACACCCAGCGACGGAGCACTGACCGGCGACCGGCGGCAGCTGCCACGGTCGTCATTTTGACAACATCCTTGGTGTACCAGCTGTTCCAGTGGTGGAGGGACTCAATCTTCCGGCCCGATTCGTACACGCCGTCAACCTCACCCTTCATGTCCATCTGGTAAAGAGAGGGCCAAAGGGTAAGGGGGGTATCTCCGTATCTCTGGATGCACTGTCCGAGCTTCTGGTCTCCAGGCTGCTCACCCCAAGACTGGCATTCATCGTAGTATTCTTCGAGAACGTCAAGGAGAGGCTTAGACACGAAAACGCCAGCACCGCCAAAGGCAATGTGACCAAAGGTGTCAACCTGCCAGTGGGCTTCTGACAAGGAGCCGATGTAATGCTTCTTGTTCACATCGAAAAGCTTCAGCTCCTCAGCGATAGTGGGGAGAGACAAGAAGAAAGTATCGTCGTCAATGAAGCTAACCCACTGAGTCTGGGGGCGCTTGGTACGGATGTGGTTGGCGAACGCCTCAACCAAACCGAAATAACGAGCAGTGAAATCGAGAGGAGACTGAATGAGTGTCAAGTCCAAGCCACGGTTACGGAAGTAGGTCTCTTGCTTGGGAATGTCGTCATCGGATTCCGGTACCAACACGATTATACCAGCCTTGGTGTTTCCGTAGGAGTAGAGGAGGGACGGAAGCAAGCGGTCCAAACGGTCAGCAGTCGTGGCCAAACCAAACAGAAGCTTGTCCGTCTCATCAACCTCATGGTCGGCCGCTACATTAACATCGATGATGGGAGGGCAGGAAATGTCCTCGTCCTTGTTGTCCGGAGAGACAACCATACCGCGCTCCATGACAGTCATGGGCGGGAGCACAGGGATATCGATTTCCTCCAACGAGCTGAATTCAGTCTTAGGACTCACGTGGTGAGGACGGAAGTACGCGCGGGTATAGTTCTTGCGAGGCAGCCACTCAGTGAACGGCATGGGGGGCATAACACTAGGATCCGCATCGCACATTTTCGCCGTCGGGGCTGATGATGGCTGTAACTGAATCTGGGGAGTACCAGCTGACGTAGTCACCCGGTCGACGGGGTGCTTGAATCGAAGGAAGGCTGCACGATCATATCGTTCAATGCACCAAAAGAAGAAGCCTATTGAAAATAGGGCAATGAGAGGAAAGACGGTCCTAGTGCGGAAAATCGGCATCTTGGGCGAATTATTAAAGGAATTGTTCTTAAGCATGAAAACGATTGTAGAAACTGGTCGACAGCAAGAATATTATATCACTGGTTGTATCAAAGGGGCATCGACGGAATAAAGTCGTCGTCTATCGGGTCCGCTATCGCACAAATGTCACCAGAGAAATCAGCCGAGATTCGACGAACAGAGGATGAAAAGAGCGTAAATGGCGAATAGAAATTTTATATAGAAAAATTTCCACAGCCTAGAGTAACTGGCAACGAAAGTCTGGCAGCGTCGAGACCTGCGACACGGTCACAAAAAAATGGTGGTGGTTCGGGTTGAAAGGCCCGGTGAAATTATTCGGTCTCCCCGTCGCGATGGGGAAACAGCAGCCGAAGGGAAGTATAGAGGCCGACAACAAAAAGAACAGCACAACTGGACGAGTCCAGGGCTTATAAGAACAATGGGAGTTGGAGGAGAAAAGAGGACGTGAGGGCGATGTCGAACCTTTGAGGGATGAGGAGGAGAAAAGAAGAAGAAGAAGAAGAAGAGAAGAGAGGAGGGGGGAGAGGAAGTATGAAGAGAATGGATGAGGGAAGGATGAAGACAGGAGACAGAAAGTGTTCCTAAGTGGGAATGCCGAATAATGGACCACGGGTTGAAATGGGGCCTAAGCTCCTCCACTGGGTAATTTAATCTGCAAAATATTAAGCTCAACTCCGCTGTAATTTTCCACCGCACTTAAAAGAGGTTTCAGATGTATCGATGGTCGAGAAACCGACCTTAATCTCGCGGTAGGGTTTGGAGGGTGTTGAGAAAAGGAGGAAAAATTTGTTAAGCAGAGAGATAGAAATAAAGCCAGAGGGCAATAATGAGGAATTGCAAGTTATAAGATGCTGATTATGCTTCCTTCGCCTTGTTGACGCCTCCCGCATTTTCTCTAACTTTCAGTCCGCTTTTTTTTTTTTTTTTTTTTTGGGTAATTCCTGGAAACCCTGTTAGCCTGAGTACTGGTACATACTCAGAGAAGTGGACTGTTTTGGTGTAGATCCCTGACAGAAGGGAAGAATGCCACCCAGATGGATGGATGGATCTCCTCTCTCCACTACAGCGGGTGGTTGGTAATTTTCAATTTCGGATTTCAAACAAACCATCCAATCCGTACCTCCAAACCCTCGACCATCGGAACCTCAAGGTTTATGATTGAATTATTATGAGAATATATGGCCAGTGCTCAATGGAACTATGTCCTACGAACATAAATATTCTATAAGTTCAAGAGTCAATACATTTGCTCTTGAGTTAAGTGGTGTATATCTTCAATTCAATATCTCCGACTTTACGGTAAGGGTCCTACATAGTACATACATCTGCATATACCGCATACCAAGTCTCTCCAGAAGTGATCTGATTCACGAAGAATAAAACCAGAGAGTGTACTCTGTAACTCTGACTTAACGGTGAATCTATGGTGAATCTGGTCAAACTGGATCGTTGTATTATCCCACCCATAAAGATCCTTCCCGAGAGAGTTGCGTACGCGTTGTATAATCGCACTGTCCATTGGGAAGTGTTTTCTTCGTTCTTCGTATCTCCTGCTCCGGGTCCTAACGGCCGATCAACGTTGCCTTCATCAACTTCAAACAGGACATCGAGTGTTACAGATTTCCGTAACCGCTCGTTTTTCTAATTACACACAATCTCTTCTATTCTTGACGAAGTGGGACTCGCCGGATCCAGTCGATGGACGGACAATCCACCATTGTGCTCCATTAGGAATGGTCAATGGCGTGAAAGGTTCTGGGAATGTTCCAGTACCTTAGCATGTTTGCAACCACTCTGTGTTTGTTCTTTATCTTCTTTAACTTATTATTCGTTTCGCTCCCATCTCTTGTGACGAGCCGTGGGGGTTATTGTGTGGTTTGCCTTGCGGATTATAAAATACGGTGAAATATCTGGATGAAAATCTCCCAACGCTCGCCAATTGATGATTCTGCATCTATGTGCCGACAGTATGTACGTACTCAACTCGAGATATCTGGTACGATTACCCAGGTGAACAGTCCTTGAAGAAAATAAAAAGAGGCGTCGATCTGAGTGGTTTCCCGCCCTTCCAGCCACTCAGGGGCGACCATTTAGGGGGCGCTGCCTCTCGGAGCCCCACGGGCCGCGTGTCCCTCCCACCACCACATGTTGTTTTCCCCTATTACTCAGTCATAGAAGGTATTCAGGCCGTATCTGAAGCTTTCTTGCCTTTATCACAGTATATCATTATTAATATTGTGCGATTTCACTAGGTTTGTAATATGATACGACTCTGTACGTAGTTGGTAGTCCGTGCTTGGCTCGGTTGCGGTTGACATAAACTCGAGTATCCTCCTCGCAGTGTCTTGATAGCTGTGTATGGGTGGTGTCCGTATGCCGTGCTTTGACATGGATAACCTACTTCATAAAGATTAGAACTTAGGAGACTTTTTTTTTGTCCCTGGATGCACTGCCTTCTCTGTTACTATTTTTTCGCAGAATAGAACCAACGGTTAAAGACAAGAGGAGAAAAGCACTGCACAAGCAATCGTCAGCAGCTTGTCAAGAACGCATACATGCAAATCGCTGAGAATAATGTCCGCTGTGGCAATTTGTGGCCTCGACTGGTCGCCTAATTGGATGTAAGCTGATGGTCGCTTGAGGTCGTTGGTACGGAGTACTGGGTACCTGAAAGTTACCAGGGCTGGTGGTTCTGGTGGATCAAGATCAACACTTCCAATCGCACTACTCCTCCTAAACTTTCGACAATGCGATCCAATCATATGTATTGAATGAAGAGCACAAGCAACTGACGCGTGTACCAAAGATGTCGACGCACGTCTGATATTTATGGAAACTTGTCCACTTCTGTTACGAAGTATTGCCACCTATGGGGGCACAGTACCTGGCGCCCGCGATTTTGCAAACCTTTTTTGTTTTTCACTCGAAGATACCCGTCTTTTTTAGCTGGAGAATAAGGACCCAAGGGTATCCAGACGAGAAAATTGTCTATTGGGATGACGATCGGCATTGACTCCCCCTCCAAGTGGCCACTACTATTGCCGAGCAATTAAGCTTGAACGCCGGCCTTGGCACCTGTCACACTATCCTTAGGTCTTTAAGCAGTAGAAAATTTTCTCCAGGGTTTAAGGGCCGTACAGGGGGGAGGTACTTTTCGGAGTACAATTCTGCCCATGTAGGGCAGCAGACCCTTTGTTACATCCATTAGTAGTGACAAGTGCACATGCCGTGCATAGCGTCCCACAAAGTAGACTGGCATTACACCAGTTACGTCAGTGAGTCTATACTCAATGCTTGAGCGTAAAAGAATTTCAAAACCCCAGCCCCCCTGATCAACATCCTCCGTCGGTGGACGCCGCTTTCCTTGTTTCCGTCGCTCCCATTGACTGTTCCGCTGGATACGTTACGGGGACGCCCCATTTTTCCTTGTCCACAACAAGCACGCCAAACAAACCCACTATAAAAAAGGGTCCTATTCCTCTACAGGATATGATAGACGTCTGCTCAGGTCGCGTTTTCACCTATGGGGCACAAAGTTCAAGGGCACCAGCTATCAAGGGTCCCCGATCCGCTTCAACCACGTACACCCGACCTTTCCTGTCCATGCTGAACCTCTGTTCGTCATGTTCGACGGAGTTGGTGCCGGACTTCCGCCAGTATATCATTTCTTCAAGAAGAACGGTCCCAAAACCCGGGACTCAGCCTTGAATTTTGAATCGGTGATGTATCAAGCCCGGAGTCTCCGTGGCAACTTGGGATATCAACTCACGTCGGCCTCCGCGGAGTATAGCTTCCATAAACTTCTTAAGCAACGCAATCTTTCCACTCTCGAAGTACAACTACACACTAATAATATGTACGAAGCTTTTAACCACAGAACTCAATTCAAACAATACTTTGAGCTTGACCCATATAGTTTCACCGTAGCCGCGTTAGTGTGGGTGTGTTAAATGAGGTGATATCCCGCCATCGTAAATGTGGATTATGATATCTTTCTAGTTCCATTTAGGTCCGTTGGTTTTAATGCTGGCCCTTGGACCCATGGACCAGTTACTGTTCTCTCCTGCGCACCGTAGACACAGCCTCATGTGCTGTTTGATTTACGCGTCACGGGACGATATGTTTGCAGTCATGGCTATGTGTGTGTGTGTGTGTGTGTGTGCTCAACATCCAAGAATGATATATGTTTGCGTATATAATAGATTATCCACATTTGGGCAGATCTCAGAGTTTTCTAGAACGTTCGTTCATATTAAAGTGAGACCCTTCGACACAACTGATCTACAGTGCTATGGAACAGATAAATGAAAAAGCACGGCCCGGAGGATTTACTCGATAGTGCCGTCCCGTTGCCAATTTACTTCGTATTTGGCCGTATACTCGTTGTGAACTTGTGGTAGCTCACTGCAATCTAATTGGGCAAGGGAGATGCTTGTGCTTGGTGCACTCGATCAATATCGATAAGTATATAGCAGATTAGCAAACTCGATAACAAACATACTCAATAAACTTGGTTATCGTCACCCATCATTGTCCCCTGCATACTTTCGGACACCATATGCGGATATTTTTAATACCTGAATCATGTTTGAGCTCACGATCCCTTACCCTGAATACCATTTATCAAGCCACCGATGTAATCCCGAAAAGGTTAATCTAAATATGTCACTGCTCCTCGCATCCTCAGGAATGTCAATAATCGGGCCTGGCGGATAACAAGGTCCCCTGTCAAGGCAGGTATCCAGTTACCATGGAAAGAATGCACACAACATCGCCATACTTAGTAAGAGTCTACCCTTCGTCTACCTACACTGCTCCTATCTCGCTACCAGTACATTCAAATACCCATATTATCCTTCCTACCGAGTATCAATCATCCTAGATGGACATAGTCACTATCTATCCCATGATCCAGCCTACTAAACTAAACTAAACTACCACATTAGTCCTAGTCCATACATAACTTCAACAAATGCCAATTATGCATAAACACGCACTACGTATCGAAGTCGGAACCTACTGACAGTTCCCCAACCCTTCAAAAACCAAAACCCCCCTACTTGCAAAAACACCCCTCCGGCCCAAAATGCAAAAAACACGATCTCAGAAACGTCATGTTACATTATCCATGTTTCAGTGGAACCTTGCAATATCGGGGAAGAGACCCTAAACAGCAGAAAGGACCTAACTAAAATACATACTTAGTATTTGGGCACTTGGCACTTGGCACTTGGCATTGGAGAGGATGGATGACAATTGGATTGACTTTGTGACATTGTGAAGGTGGGGCTGAAACGTCCTCCGCGTTTCAAGTATCTTTGTTTTTGATGTGCGATTACGTGTGTGGAATCGAGATGCGGGGGTGTCTTTGGGAATCAGTGGGTTTTGATAGGTGGTGGGTTCTTCGATGTGTCGTACTGGGGTGGATTGGGTGCTTTCGTAATGTGTCTTCAGGTGGTATGAGGCGTTGACGATGGGTGGGACGTA